GGAAGTCTCCAGCCAGACTGTCAACTTGGTTTATAGCAAAGACATCCTACCATCTTGCATTTCTGTGACCTAGACTTCCACCTTATCAAATGTCGTCCACTTAGGGACCCCTGAGGAACCCCTGGGTGATCTCATTTATGTTCTTCCCTAGTTGTCTTTAGCTGTCAACCTGATGCGCTGCACGTCTGAGAGAGCTTCAGCTGGGGGATTGCCTCAATCAGACTGACCTGTGGACATAGATGTGGGGCATTTTCTGATTACTGATTGATGTTGGAAGACCCAGTGCGCTCGCTCTCTCTCTCTCTCTCTCCCCCCCCTTTCTCTCTCTCCCTCTGTGTGTGTGTGTGTGTGTATGTGTGTGTGTGTATGTGTGTGTGTATGTGTGTGTGTGTATGTGTGTGTGTGTGTATGTATGTGTGTGTATGTATGTGTGTGCGTATGTGTGTGTGTGTATGTGTGTGTGTGTGTGTATGTGTGTGTATGTGTGTATGTATGTGTGTGTGTATGTGTGTGTGTGTTGGGAAGGTACCACCCCTGCACAGATGGTCCTGTTGTTGTTGTTGTTTTTTAAACTCAGGTTGAGCATGATCCAGAAAAAGTGAGCCAATAAGCAGTTTGCCCCATGGCCTCACCCTTGGTTCCTGCCTTAGCTCCTGTCCTGATTTCCCTTGATGGACTGTAACCTGTAAGGTGAAATAAACCTTTTCCTCTACAGGTTGCCTTTGGTCATGATGTCTGTTTATTAAAACAGCATTAAGCAAACAAGGACAGAAATCGGGATCAGAAGCGGCGTGTTGTTTAGGCTAACCTGACCTTGTTGTTCTGGGGGAGGACTGCTGAAGTGTTCCGAACTTTGGGCTGGAAAAGCCTCCGAGAGCTCAGAACTTAATGGACTGTTCTGTGGGAGCCTGGACGACAGGAATGTTGAGAGAAATACAAATATAACGGAGCTCTGGCTGGTGCTACTGCAGAGAGAAGCTCAGACTGTCCTGTCTAGGCAGCCAAGGCTACGTCTCAAGCTGGCAGCCAAGCTTTAGAATAACAGAGTCTCGCATGTAATGCTGTTATTGGTGGTATGAACACTGCAAGACTGATGATGTCATAGAGACAAACTGAGACTTGGTTCTAAGAGAGGTCAGCAGAGGCCATGGTGAAGGTGCAGGCTTGGGGGAAGTGGAGACCCCAGGGACGAATGGATCATGGTGAGAGGCTGAAGCTTGGCACCAAGTGGCAGGACCGGGGTCTCATCAAAAAGACCTGGAATCAACTGGGGGAAAGGTGAAATTTCATTAGCAGTGGAGTGGCCAGGATATTGGAGATGCCAGGACCGTGGGACACCCACCAAAGGTAGTGACTGGAGTGGAGCGGAGCTAACCTGAGCTTACAAGACAAGCCATGGAGGCTGTAAGTTGCACAGACATGGAGTTACCTCAGTCCTTTGGAGCCCAGAAGATCTTGGCTGAGTGCAAGATGTTGGATACTGAGCTTTTAATAACTGTTTAATTTGGGGTTTTCTTTGATATGATTGTAATTGTGTCCTGATTCTTCCCTCTAGGAATAAGAAAGTGTGTAACTTGTCTTTTGGTTTTTGTTTTATTTTGTTTTGATCTTATAGGAACCCACAGCATAGAGATTTTGAAGTTTTAAAGTGATAATATTTTAAAGACCTTAGAATGTTTAAAGCTGATTCGGGGAACAAAGAAATGAAAGGTTATGGCTTAAAGTGACATGTTTGTATCAAGTTGACAATGTGTAGACTGCCCTAGTTAGCCTTAGCTGTCAGACGAGGGAGGGAATTGTCTGGTCAGTGGTCTTTTGGCAAGTCTATGGACATTTTTCTTGCTAATCGACGTTGGAGGGCCCAGACCACTGTGTGCTGTACCATCTCTGGGAAGGTAGTCTTACATTATATAAGAAGCAGGCCGATCAAGAGTCAGAGAGAGCGACCCAGTAAGCAGTATACCTCCATGGTCTCAGCTTCATTTCCTACTCTGTCTTGATGTCTTGATCAGTTGTGGACTAACCCCTGCAATTTGAAATATTCTTCCCCAAGAATAGTGAAATTCTTGAAATTCTTCCCCAAGTTGTTTTTGACATTGGTGTTTATTACAGCAGCAAAGCAAAACAGAACAAGTTCCTTAGCAACTCTTTGAAGATAAAAGTTTCAAAACGCACCGAAATCTTAGGGAATCCCACACCCGTTTTTTTTTTTCAGCTGCACCTTCCTTTCTTCCTAAACACCTTCTTCTCTTCACCCTCTTGCTGAAAGTCTATAAAGAAACACCTTTTAATGAACCACAGCTCTGTTTTATGGTGGCCTGTTCTGAAATTCTCTTCTGAGTTGCAGTCAAGGGTCTGGTTTCAAGTGGGTCGAAGTCCTTTGAAGAGAAGGGGCCTCCTCAGGCTTTTGCATGTGACAGTGTTGAACTGTAATTTCTGTCTCTGTTGTCAGTGATGGCACCGAATGAGGAGCTAAAGGGACTGGGGGCCTGACATCATCTCAGAAGCTGTGGAAGTCCACAGCCTTCCTCTGACTTTCAGCTCTAGGCCGGTGGAGTTGGCTCTCCTGCCTCAGCCTCCCCAGGATGAGCTAAAACAGCGACAGGATGGCTCTGTGAGGTTCAGAACTGAATACCTAGGTGCTGAAGTGTGTGCCGTCTATGAGTTATACAGATACACAAAATGATGTTATTGGAGTCCAAGGTCCAGGCTGGATGCATCCGGTTTTTCAGCCTCATAGCTAAAGAATTGAAAGTGAAACACCATGCAGGTTTGCAAAAGAAGCAAGATGATTTTAATCTGGAGATAAGCAATGATACGGGTTAAAGATGGATACATTGCAAAGATTGGCAGTAGACCACATGAGTGAAAGTTCTCCTGAGCTTTAGGCTGCAGCCGGAGGCCTCTTTCTGTAGGGTCGGAAGAAAGAGGGGTTGGTGAGTAAGGGACATACTTGAAGTGACTCTCTACTTAAATAGAGGTTGTACAATCACTTTATCTATTCTGCATGTCCCTTCCCAGGATGCATTTATTTTTATTTTTATTTTATTTTTTTAGGGTTTTTGTAGCAAGGTTTTCTCTGTGTAGCCCTGGCTGCCCTGGAACTTGTTCTATAGACCAGGCTGCCAGGATGGCCTCAAATTCAGAAATGCACTTGCTCGTGCCTTCTGAGCACTGGGATTAAAGGCCTGAGCCTCCACGGCCTGGCTAATGCATATGCAGAGACATAATGATGGCAAACAGGGGATTCTCCCAAAAGGAGGACACAGTTTTGCCTTACTTTACATCTGCCTAAACTAGTTCAGGCTGGATCAGCCCTTCTATATATGTCGGGAATACACTTCAATAGAAACTGTCCATATTTGATCTTTCCAGGAGTCCGAGAACTCATCCTATTGTTATGTAAAAATACATGTGGTCTAATGCAGTCGGTGGGGTCAGGGGGTTCTGAGGCTGTTAGATGTATTGTTTAGAGAGGAGCATGCGTGCAAGGAGTGTGCAGGGGAAGAAACTTCGCTGCCAAGTGGGTCATTACAGGAGGGGAGTGTAATAAATTATCTCCTATTCTTGCCCATCTCCATAGTATCTCCATCCTCCCGGCATACAGAAAGCATTTAGGGAGCCAGCATGTATGTGTGTTACCCCACCAGGTGGAGGGACAAGAGGATGGCAGCTGTTCAGAGCCCAGGACAGGTGGGACAGGGTGGGGCTGGGCTTGTCTTTCCAAAGAGGTGGAATTCCAGTAGAGAAGCCTGAAGGATGGCTCTAATGAACCTGGAACTTTATTTTTTCCTCCCTTTCCTTTGAGTTAATGAAATCACAGCACCCGGAAGGTTAACCCAGAGCCTTCACGGGGCAGGCAAGTACAGGCTCTGCCAGTGAGTCGCTCTCTGCCTTGGAAGTAGATTTGCTGGGCACTTTATCTTTCAAAGATCCTTCTTAGTCATTTCTCTTAGCAGATTCTAAATTACGTCCTTTTCACAGGGTGAACCAACGTAAAACTGGACCAAAGTCAGACCCTTCTTTATGTGGGTCTGAGTGAGGAACTGAATTACTCACCAGATGTAGGTTGAGGCTCCGCTCTTTTTGTCCCCCTTGCTTGCTTTGACTTATGATTTTTGCGACTGGACAATTAATGGAAGGAAGGCAGGTTGGAATAATGAAAAAAAAATCAAACCAACAGGCTCCTGGCAGGTACTTAGGTCCAGATCGTCTGCTCATTTGGGCCTCCCGTGATGAAAGAAAATCCCAGACTTTTGTGGACTTTAAGAACAACTCTCTCCAGACTCCAGAAAGAGTAAAAGGGAAATGGGAAATGGTGACCTGGGGTTGGGGCAGCTAATGGACCATTAGGGGAAAAACTAGGCACGTGAACTACTAGTTAAAGCATATACCGTGACGCCCTGAACAATCGGAAATGACCTTCAGATGACCTCCAAGGTGTAAAAGCATCATTTCTTTAGTCCTCAACCTTGTTCTGCTTTCCGGAGCCGTTTGATACAACAGAAGTCCCCTTATGATTCCCACAAGCCTCAGGAATATTTACCAGCAAGGGGAGACATAAGGAAATAAGCCAGATAATTGTTGCAATGGGCTTTGTTCTGTGGAAGTTAAAATGCTAGGGTAAGAATCTCAATCTCTCTCTCTCTCTCTCTCTCTCTCTCTCTCTCTCTCTCTCTCTCTCTCTCTCTCTCTCTCTCCCCTACCCTCCTACCCCTTCTCTTCCTTTCTCGACCACCCCCATCTTTTTTGGCTCTCCTCCCCTCCCTTCTCTGGACTCCCAGTCCCCCCCGCCCCCGCCACCTGGCGGGAGGAGAACCTTACAGGTTGTCAATGAAACATGGAATTATTTCCTTTGATGGCTTAGATAATAGTAGGAGCCGAAGCAATGAGTGAGGTCGGCCGAGACCAATGCAGTCCTGCCCGGGACTGGAGAGCCAATCACAAGAGCAGAAGGCGGGGCGTCGGCGCCAGCCGATAATTGCTAAGTGCATCGCTAGCACAGTTGGTCCGAGCTGCTGAAAGGTCTGGTCGCAGAGGCAGGAACGCAGCATCCTCAGCGTGCTCCAACCCGGCTGCGTCCTCCTGCGCTCGGCCGGGCAGCGAGCCTCCGGACGAGAGCGAGCCCCTCAGCTTCTCGGAGAAGGTACCTTTATCTGTGTCCCGGGAGAGGGGGCTGCTTCCGCTGTGTTTTCGCACAGGCTTGCAGATAGCACAGGTGGAGGGATTGCAGACAGAAGAGAAAAGTTTAAAGGGAGGAAAGGTGACAAAGGTGGAGACCCACTGTTTTTTTTTGTTTTCTGTTTTTTTGGGAGGAAAACAAGCCTACAATTTGGAAAAACTTCTGCGCCGTCGAGAGCTGGGTTTGTTTACTATTAATTAGCTGCGCGCAGGTCCATCAAATGGGTCTGGTTTGGGGCTAGAGGACCTGCGGGGTTAGGGTGTAGACTCAGGTTTGCTGGGTGACCAAGGCTGGACCCCAGATCTGCGGCTTCCTGGATTAGAATGATGCTGTGCTGTGACCATATCCATGAACTAGTTCCAGAAGCAAGCTTGGTTTGATTGGATTTTCTGCCATCGGGTCTGCCCTGCCTGCTGTACCTTGACCTGCCTTGCCCAAAGCACTGTGACCCTTCAACTCCAGACGTTCCTCAAACTTTTCCCATCTTCTCCTGGGCTACTTTTGCCCACTCTTTCTCCATCAGTCTTCATTAGGTGAAAAGAGAAATTTCACAGGGTGTAGGAGCCTGTCCCGTTTGACCCCATGAATATCCATCTGCGCATCACCCAACTTGGTGAGAAATAAACCCTTGCCATCAACAAAGAAATAACTTCATTGGTTCGCTCTTGAACACTCTGGAAGACTTTCTTGATTTGGTACACATACCCCGAAAAACAGTGGGGACAGGGCTGAATTTTATCTCAGGGTGCTTTACATTCCAATCAGAGAAAGGAATTCTGAGGTCCCACAGCTCGGGAAGCAAGGCTGCAGGGAGAGGGAAGCTGCTGGGGGCTAGTTTTATCTAGATGCGCAGGTGACTTGTGGCAGGAAGATGGTGCTGGAGTCCCTGCTCACACTGCTTCTGGTAACTGCTCTCCAAGTGGAAATGCTCACCATGGCCTGTGGTTAGTTCTTGACTGTCCCACACTGTGGGGGCTACAAGGGCCTCACTTTCGCTGAGACCCACTTTTGATACTTGATAAAAGTGCCTTTCAGTCGACTTTTGCCACAGGGAATTGCTAGGTAAGTGGACCTTGAGGAGGAGGTGGTGTCCCCAGTGCCGGTGAAGGTGATGTACACAGCCTGGGACTCCCTGCTTTCCCGTGCAGCTATTTCCTGGTGCCCTTCGCTCCAAGGCACCCAGTGGTGTGTCATACCTCCGACATCCTCTGTTGCTTCCAGTCCCCAGGTGATATGACAAGTCCCTGGGATTTGGGGAATGTGGGTCCCGGTGAATTCCTTCCCTTTGATTTCTGTCCCAGACTTGAAACCAGGAAAGAGAACTGACGGAACGGGGGCGGGGGGGGGGGGTCCTGGGAGGGGTTCTCAACAGTGCCACGTCCCTGCGACACCTTTCCCACAGCTTCAGAGGTGTGACAGCCTTGATTCTTCTGCCCCACACATCATTTCCATTTTCAGTCCTTCTGTTCTTCACTACCACACACAACAGGTTCTCCTTCTCTCCCTTTAGGCAACCGTTTTGGGTGGGAATTGTTATTCTGGAAGTTCTAGTACCGGTGGTTGAAGAGATAGCCGGCTAGTCTTGTGCAGTTGCAGCTGGTCAGGATGCCCGACCTCTTGTGCACGTGTTGGCTGGAAGAGGCAAAACAAACCCCAGGCTCCACATAGCACGACTCCTGCTATCCAAGGTCCCTGAGTGGAACTGAACTTCTTTGGGTGGTTGGGGGCAGTTCTAAAGGACTTTTTCCCTCTGTGATGTAAGGTACATGACCCCAAAGAGGTCGTGGGGACAGTACTCAGCACTGAGAAAGTGACCTGAATGCAGACACCCTGTTTGGTTTTGTTCTGTTTTTTTTTTATAATAAACATAGGAATAATTTGAAGAAAGCTTTTGAGTTTGAGAGGTATCCGGAGCCAGAAACCGGAAGCAGAACTTAGGGTCCCCCTTCAATTTATGCCAATCTGTGATCTGTTGATGTCTATCATGATAGGGAACATTAAAAGAAGGCGTTTTAAAACAGCTCCTTGTGGTGACTCATCCACAGAGGGAAAGGCTGGGTGGGGGAGGGAGCCGAGGGAGCTTTGGGAAGTACAAGTGGGACACGCTGGAGCACTGGCTTTCTCTCCCTCTCCTCCCCCTCATTCTTCTTCCTTGTATTTCCTCATTTGGAACCGAGATCATTAAAATAACAACTTAAGCTAAAAAAAAAAATGAGTATAGGAGCTGTAGAGTAATTGACAAAACTCAAACCACCCTCATCGTAGCTTTACCTTGGGCAGTGTGGTCCCAAACCCCAGGACCCTGCACCTCTGTGATGGAGAATGTAATCTCATGGTATGCGGCTGATTAACTCCTGTGAGGCTGGGTGCTTGCTGGCGTGTTAAGGGACTGATGGATGCTCAGGAGATTAAATTTGTTGGTTGTCATTTTATCGAATTGAGCATGGAAGCTTCAGCTAGGAAGCTGGGTGGGTACCGTGCAGCGATGTAGGGTTTTCCTTTTGCCCAGTTGGCCAGCCAGGGCTTCTGTCCTGAGCTACTGTGACGTGGAAGGGCTCCATCCTTCTGCTGCTCCAAGGCCAGTGTGATTGATCGCCCTGGCAGATAAGAGACTTCGTATCCCTCTGGACCTCAGTGCCCACCACCCTCCTTGTCACCCCTCTCCATGCTAAACCTGTCAATAAGTCATCTCTTTGCCAACCTTCTTCGATCTCATCACCTCGTGCTGATTTTGCTGTTAAAGAAAATCATGCCCAGAAATAGGATTGGAAACATTAAAATTTCTATCAGAGAGGTGTCCTTTTGTTTTTTTCTTTTAAAATTTAATTTTGTGGTTTTGGGGAAATCAAATCAGCACGTTTATTGGGTTAGGCATTTTGGTAAACGCTGTCATGATGTCTTCTTTCTCTTGGCGGACGTCTGAATTTCCCAGCTCTCCTCAGGGAGGGTGTGTCTGCAGGTTTGAAGCAGTCTGGAACATCCTTAAAAGTCGACAAGATTAAGCCGCATTGTGCCACTGTTTGTTCAAAATGGCAAACGGCTGTTTGGAAATCCAAGATCAGTGTTCTCTATGCTCGAGTGTCCTCCAGTGTTCAAAGCTAGAATTATGAGTAACTAGTTCATCTGATGCACTTTCCTGCATATCCACACCTCATCCTTCATCCCAGCTGGGGACTTAGTTCACCTGACGCAGGTAACTTACTCGATTTGATAGGTAGATGCCTGTCTTTTTCCTTCCTCTGTTCTGGTTCTTCCGACCATCTCAGGACACCCTAGGTGAGATTTCCTCATAGACACCCTGCTCACCACCTTTCAGAAAGAGTGACCAGAGATGCCAGGAATGCTGAGTTAGCCATCCCAGAGTGCCCGGTGGAATGGATGAGGTAATCCTTTCAGCAAGTTCAGTTCTAACTCAGACTTTTGTAGCGTTCATGGGTGGTGGGCTGCTGGTTCTGTGAGGCGGACATGGAAAATGCCTTAGGGCAAAGGTGACTCCTACCAGGCATAGGAATTCTGCTGCTTTTCTGTCCTGGGGACCACTCCTCCATCCATCCCCCTTCCACAGTTCCCAGACGGTCCAGCTGGGGCCTGACCTTGGGGACATTAGTGGACAGTGTCGTTTGCTTACCGTTCTCTCCGTTTCTTTGTTCTCTTTTCTTTGTAAGGTGCCAGCAATTAGAAAAGGTCAAATTTACTTCCTTACACTAAGTTAACAGTGTAACTTACAGGGGCGTTGAAGTCTTTCTTCCATCTTTGTAGACCACACCACACTACCTCCAGACTACATTCACCTCGAGTAGCTGCGTATTAACAACAACAGCAAAACCCCCAGAAGATGTTTGTAGAAGTAGTTCGGCATCTGCTGGCAGGACAGGAGAGACAGAATTAGAAAGATGCAAACAGAGATTGTGGCGTTTTGCTTGTCAGCTGAGACACTGCCGTGGCTACGCAGGGAGTTGTGGTCATAGTTGGGGTTTTAGCTGCGTATAGTGAGTGGCACGTGACTATAATTCCAGCACTTGGAAGGTGGATGCAGGAGGATCTGGGGTTTAAGACAAGCTTAGGCCATAGAAGGAGCTCCGACCCCCACCCCCACACCACCACTATCAAAAACAAACAAACAAACAAAAAAGGAATATTGGATCCGACTTTGAGCCCTAGGATTTGATCTTGGGCATTGCACTCATTGACACCTTTGGCTTTCAGTTTCCTCCTGTGTAAGGAGATCGGACTGTGTTCTTCTGGGTCCCTTTCTGCAGTGACCTTCTCTTTTGATTTTGCCAGGGACTCTACCTCCTGCTGTGGAGGCCACAGCTCTGCAGCCTCCCATGCTGCCATGGTGACTGGTCTTCCCAGCTAGAATCTAGGAAGATAGGTCAGGAGGCACAGTGGATGGTATGTCAGAAGAAGAAGAAGAAAAAAAAAAAAACCAGGCTGAGGGGTGATGTCATAACTGATCCTGGTTTAGGAGGGGATGTTATATGGAGGATGGCGACCAGCTGTTCTCCATCTTCAGTAAGGATTGAACGAGAGAAAATAGACAGAAATTGCAGCAGATGGACTTAGATTAGGTATGAGGAAGCATTTTCCATCAGCAAGAATTTTTAAAAAAGGGAAGGTTGTGAGCCTCCAAGATAATCTTTACGAAAAGGATAAGCAGAAGGTGTGAGCCGGAGTTGGAGCTGGAGGACCGTGAGCCGGGGAAGGGCAGGGTTCCCTGAGCCTCAGGCTCCAGCTCTCTCTCCCGGAGGAGCCCTACGATGATTTCTCCCAAACTGCGCCCTTGGCTTCAGGGCTGAAAGTTGAAGTGCTTGGGGTGTATGAGGAATGCAGGGGACCTGTGAAGCCCCTTGGGTAGAACCCCCCGCCCTCTGCCCTAGCTGGCTACCACCTGGATGGGGACATTCTGCCCATTGCCTAGGTATCCCCTGTCTGCTCTGGCAAATGACCTCACAGAGATAAAA